ATATAAATGAAGTCAAGAAATATTTAGATTCAATTCCTAGTAAAATATTTTTTTCGAGGACTCTCGTTTTTTTATTTACTTAATTATAAAATTAAACATTTACGACGTGTTTAAACTATGTCAGAACCTTTGCTCTTCATAAATTATACGACATATGCTCAAAACTAGATTGGGCTAAAGATCACTTTTAAGAAAATGGGGTATATAGTATTGTATGACACTTAAATTAAATCACGTAGGTTATCCTACAGGGCAGACCTAATCATACAAGTGTGTTCATTTAAATAGTAGTGCTGTATCATACAAAACTCAAGATACCTGATAAATAAAACAAGTAAGAGTGCTCCAGTTGAGTCTTCTCGACTAGAGGATACCCCGAACCCAGTTGATTACCCATCATTCTATAAATTACGGACGGATATGACCATATCGCCTCAGCTCGTTAAGAATATATATGTGTATACTTAGAGAGGATTCTTTATAGCTTATAAATTTCCTTATGATGCCCACTTTATGCTTAGAGGAGAAAACAAGGAAATCTCAGATTTGGTTAAATTTATCTTACTTGATCTTTTTGCTTCATATATATTTAGGGAACTCATTGGAATTCTTAAAACATCTTCAGCTTTTACTTTCAGTTTATGGTTTTTAAACATTCATAGCATAAAAACTTTTAACATTTTCTATAAATTTTCCATTACATTTCGTTTTGTCTGTTCCCCTTTTTTTTGGCATTCATTCGCAATTGCATTTCATCAATTAGCTGACCGAGACTTATAGCATACATTACTCATCCTAATCTCAATTGAAACAAAGCATTTTATTATATGTATGCAAACTCTTTGAGCCGCAGTTGGCGCTGTTTCAAAATCGGCCTGTAGAAATCCCAGTCAGAGCAGCAATACGTCAAATTGGTTAGCTAACCGCGGCCTAGAGAGTTTGCTTGGCTGCAGCTACATGCACACATACATATAAATATATCTTGGCCATATCAATAACATCTGGTAACTACCTCAAATTGCGCACACAGACAGAGACACGGATAGACGTCGAGTGAGACGAGATGACGAATTTATGTACTGAAAACATAAAGAGTATCTGCGAAATACATACTTACATAGATAGATACACATGCATCACACACATGTGCTCATAAATAATTGCAAGCTCTGGGCTGGTTATGTTTTATTGTAGTTGTAAATGTTGTTGTACTAGCTGTTGTTGATAATGATGTTGTTGCCGTTGTTGTTGCTGCTGTTGTTGTTGTTGCTTGGGCTTCTTTAGCCCGGTTTGTTGTGCTCTGTAAGATTCATTGCGTTCATTGGTCCACATCCACACACAACGCACTTAAGGTCATGACTTGACAGACCTTATCGAATCACTCACACACACACACACACACACACACTATCACAGGCACACACTTACACACTTACACACGCTCAGTTACACGTGCAGTCGTATTTCTTTAAATTCGCCTTACTTTGTTTTTATTAAATTTTATTGTAATTTTTTATAGTTGATTCGCTTGTTCATATAAATGTTTAACTACATTTTAATGCAATATTTTTATTATAATTTTAATATTTTATTTTTTTCTTTTGTGTTTTTATTTGTGTTTCATTGTCAGTGCTTAAGCGATTGCTTCATTACGTTTACGCAAATTTTTTAAAACAATTAAAAAATTGTTGTTTCTTGTGTATTTGTTTCTGTCCAAAGTAGCTGCTGTTGTCGCATTAGCTATGCGTGCCTTTGTCTAGATAAATACGTATATACTTGTTTGTATGTATGAGTGTTCATTGTCGGGTCATCGCCGAGACAACTGCGACAACATTTTGCTTAATTACTGCACAAATTGAGATTTATTTAAACAATAAGCGGGCACAAGATCTGAGATATGTTCATTGCAGATTTATTATGCTAAAGTCTATTCGAAGTCCATTCTTAAGTAGCGTGAATCATTTGTATAATTGACGCTTAAGTATTTTGCAAGACAAATTATATTTCAATTTATGTATATTTCAATTTATGTATATGTACATAGATATCTATCAGTTATATGTATGTATGTATGATGTTCGCTCTGTCAGT